GGAACTAGAGATATTATTGCTGATGTCCGATGGATCTTGGCTGAAAGCAGAGAATACCAGAATGATGTTTACCTATGCTTTATTGTAAATCTTTACAGGAGTAGAAAGCTTCATTTTTCTCTCACAGAACGGCTGGTAGTTTTGAACTGCTCATCTTGAGGTTAGCAGCCTGACTGTGCTACCAGAGCTCCTTTAATACATTAGTATTTCCATTTTAATGGTAATTTTTAATAATAAAAATTCTTATATATTTACATTATTTCTGGTGCTCTTTATCCTCTTGCAGAGACATTATTTCCACCTATTATCCATTTATAAACATATCAAACTTCTTACAGTTGCCTTTCAGCTTACTAATATTCTAGTCAATATTTTTTAAAGGTCTTTCTTTCTGTGTCTACCCCAGCACCTAAAACAATGGCTGGCTTTCAGCAGTGCTGACACACAATAGAATTTCACATACAAACTCCTGTCCATTTCTCTAGTCATCACAATTACAAATTTACAGTCTATCCTGAAAACCTGTTAATCCTGGCTTCACCAGCGTTTTTCCCCGTAATACAGCTTCAGGTAACATCATAAATGTCACACATTTTGTACAACATTCACACATGGTCACAGACACGGGGCACTCCCATCGCCAACACACAAAAGTTTTACACATTTACACTTACAGAAACACACACATAATGATAGAATCAGAGGGTTATGCATGTACTCACAAAATCACAAGCGACAGAATCTTCGTGAGGGGAGAAAGATGATACATTAAGAAATTAAAATATTAACAGTCAGGGTGTGGTGCTGTGGGATAATGCGCTGGACTGCAACATCGATTTGAACCCAAAGGCTGGTGATTCAAACTCACCAGCCGCTCCTCAGAAACCCTGTACAGACAAGGTCGCTATGAGTCGGAGCTGACTCGATGGAACTTAACAACGACAATCTGTCATAAATTATGGAGTCCTGGTGTGGTGCTGTGGGATAATGCACTGGACCGCAAGGTCAGTTTGAACCACAAAGTCAGCGATTCAAATTCACCAGTCGCTTCTTGTAAACCCTATAGAGTTGCTATGCATTGGAACCGATGGCACTTAACAGCAACAATAATCTATCCTAAAGTGGTAAAAGCGACGAAGAAATCCGATTTAGTAGCCATGGAATGCCAGGAGAGAAATGGGATCCGGAAAGACCTTTTTGAATGTAGGACGGAAGGGAATCTTGAAGGTACCTATCAGAAGCGCCATTGTGCAGAAAGGGTACAATTCACCCCTACTACCACCAAACCATAAATACCCGAACCACAAGCAGGGCAGTATACTGTCTGACCTAACCCCATCCCTCTCATCCCCACAGCAAGAAAGGCCTAATGGAGCAGGACTGGGCATAACGCGCTTGCGCAGTCTACCCCAACTTCTTTTGAGTACCCTGGCATGATACTAGAAATTCACCCCTTAGCGGTGAAGATGCAAGCGTGAGTGCACTCAAACCCCGCCTTCTGCGGCTAATCAAAAACAAACAACAACATTGGCCTAAGTCCACTGGAACTCAGATTGACTGGAGAACAGAGTGGATCTGTCCATAGGGTTTCCAAAGCTGTAATCGTTAAAGGAAGCCGAGTGCCACAGCTTTCTCCTACATAGCAGCGCCGCCAGTTGTCTTCTGGTTTAGCAATCAAGAGCTCATCATTGCACTCCTACGATCCTTGCGGCTACCCGGCGGCCTGGAATTACTGGTCCAGGCTGCTAGCGGAGGCAGGCCTAGTGCTGCTGGTGCCTGCGCACTTCAATCCCAGACCGTTTTGAATGACGTTCGGTCCAATCCCTGTGGCCGATTTAGGCTGATAGCTGAAAAGAATCAGGGCTTCTGGGCTCCATTCTGGAAGGCCCGGGAGAGACCGGTGCGGCACCGGGTTGTTTACTGGCCCAAAGGAGAACTGCGACCATGTAGCGGGAAGAGGCAGCGCCGCGGCTTTTCCGCTATGGACTACATTTCCCGGTGGCCCCTGCTGGCATCCGCCGGCGGCCCCTTTGTGTCCTGAGTCCCAGGCAGCTGAGTCGTTGGGACTGGGTTTTGTCCTACCCAGGGCGGAGAGTTAGGCCCTAGTGGAGAGTCCCTGAGCCTTCAGGACCGGGACTGGATTTCCCTGGAGTTCAGTTCTGCAGGTAGGGAGTGGGGCTGAGGAGGAACCTGTGAATCGTGCAGACGCTGGTCTTCACGGCCTCTGTGGGACTCTGCGTGCAGACTTTGGCCAATGTGCGGGTACCTGTCGCATCTGTGTCACTGGGTGCGAATGCATCGGTCCCATGGAGTGGAACTGCGTAGGTTTGTGAGTGTGTAGGGGAGGGTATTCTCTGCCTCACTGTGTTCCCGTGCCAGCAACCTCTATGTGACTGGAACATGTGATTGTGACGGTCGCTCTGATATCCCTAATGTTTGAGGCTTGGGGGTGTGCCAGAGGGTGATGACTGCGTTCATATAAGTGACCTCCAACTATGGCGGGTGTCAGACGGTGGTTAGTGCTGTCGTTTGATAGACTTTGTGGGTATGTGTGTCATCAGTGTCTGAGAGCTAGCCAATGATTCCAATGTGCGGCTAAATTAAAAATCACTGATGGAGTGGAGTGGAGAAAGACTGTGGAGTCAGGCAGTATTTCCTTTGCTCTTGGTGCTATTATTTTTTAGTTATGTGACTTTAATGTAAATGACTACATTTCCAGATTCTTTATCTTTTAAATCGGAAACAACTATGTTGTTAACATAAGAAACTAGGAAGTAATGGGAACATGGTTAAATTGTAAACAAATCCTTAGTTCTCGCTTATGCTCTCTATCTGAGGGAAGAGTGGAACTGGAAAAGAGAAGTCAAGAAATTCTACGCTGCAGGGATCCTAAATGCTGCAGGGAAAGTCTGGTTTGTCATGCTCTGCTCTCCATCATAGTCATCTAAGAACATTGCCATTTCCCAAGAGAAGAGGCAGGAAGAGGAAAGAATGGCTCTTGGACTTCTTAAAGCCATGTATCAGGTGAGTTTACATTTTCTCTCTTGTTTATTTTTAAAACAAATAGACATTAGCTTTCCTTCTGCTGAAACTTCTTGGTTAGCAATCTTGTCACTTCAGGTGGCTTCTCAGGATAAAAGAAATCCTTGACTTGACCTGTAGGAACCCACATAATCTAGTCCCTTACTCTCCCTCTGTCTTCTCATTTCTTTCACATTGTTCCACTCATTCAGCTCCAACTCTGCTGGACACTCTTAGTTCGTGGCCTTGCACCTGCTGTTCTCACTGCCTGGAATGCTTTTACCCCAGATACAGACCGTTTCATTCTAGTCTCTTCCCAAACAGCATTCATTCATACAACGGATTTTTATTAAGCAACTATTAACACTGGGTGCCATAGGGTTCTTGGTTCTGGCTCTCTCTGTCCTTTAACGATCATATCCTGCTTCATGGCTTTAAATACCAGCTATTTGCCAACTGTGGAGTCCTGGTGCAGTGCTGAAGGATAAGCACTTGACTGCAAGGTTGGTTTGAACCACAGAATTGGCTGTTCAAACTCACCAGGTGCTCCTCGGAAGCCCTATACACAGTGACTATGAGTCAGAATTGACTTGACAGCACTTCACAACAATAACAACATATGCCAAATCTAGTAGAGAAAACTCATAAAAGTAAAACAAGTTTATTAAAAGTTCAACACAGTAGAAATGGGAACCATGGAACTCATAAAAATGTAACTACAAGTCTGAGGCACAATAGTCATTCACGCATTATTATACCATTTAGACAAAGAATGGGGAATACAATAGTGTTTCCTTTTTAGGCAATCAGAGAAGTTAGAGGCAGGCTTCCTAAAAGTAAGGGCTGGTTAGTGATTGGGGAGTAACACAGATGGGCTTCAGTGATTGCTGACTTAGGTTGCAGTGGTTCATACGGTAGGTGTGTACATTGGGGATCATAGGGGCAGTGACAGGACATGCTGGTCTGGGAACATGCTATTGAAACTGTTTTCTCAAGCATGTCTTTTTTGAGGGTCCATTGGAGTCCTGGTGTGGTGCTGTGGGCTAATGTGTCAGACTGCAAAGTCATTTGAACTGCAAGGTCGGTCGTTCAAGCTCACCAGCTGCACCTTGGAAACCCTATACTGGGTCGCTAGGGGTTGGAATCGACTTGATGGTACTTAACAACAACCTTGTAAAGAAGAGATTTTATAATGCTGCGTGTCAAAACTCTCTGGGAACAGGCTGTGACATCCTATTTCTGCTTGACCACAGGAAAAATATTTACTTCAGAGTATGTTTTTAAGATGGTTAATGCTTCAGCATAGGAGAGAAAACTGCTGTTTTAATATGAAGTTTGTTCTCAGACCTGGGCCATGTTCCTCTACTTATTCCAAATGCCTCTTATAATTTTGGAACCCTCTATTCATTTCCTCCTCTTGATCGAGGAATTTTTGGGCAATTCTTTGGTCACATTTTTAAAGAGTGCCTTCTGTATGGACTTGGTGCCTGCTTACCTAAACCATTAATATCCCAGGCACTACTATTCAGGAGGGACCAGTCGCTGGAGAGGGAGCTCATGTTTGGTAAGGTGGAAGGTTAGAGAAAAAGAGGAAGATCCCCCAGTGAGATGGAATGGCCAAATGGCAGCATCGTTGGACTCAAGTGTGGCAACAGTAGTGAGGTTGGCCCAGGATCGGGCAATGTTTCGTTCTGCTGTGTATAAGGTTGCTATGAATCGGTACCAACTCGATGGCACCTAACAACAACTATTCTTGGCAACTGGGCACTATCCAAGGTTGTCACCATGCCATGACTTTGGTATTCTGCTTCAGTGATGCTCTTGGTTGAGAGAGAAATGGGGCTTCATTAGAAGGAACTGTTTGGTTATTCAAAGTAATTGGTCCAAGGAGTAAAATATTGGTTTTCTGGGTCAAAACATGGGAGGTGACATTCACATAGCATTTCATAGTTCTAGCATCAATTTAGTAACTGTGTTGTCATGGAAGGTGACTTTCACATAGTATTTGATAGTTCCAGTATCAATTATAGTAACTGTGTTGTTGTTAAGTATCATTGAGTCCGTTCAAACTCATAGAGGTCCTGTATAGAGTTTCCAAGGAGCAACTTGTGGGTTTGAACC